TTTTTAAAATATAAAAAAGTGATAATTTAGTAAATTGAAATAATAATAATAATAACTATTATTATTAATAACATTATTATTTTTATTATAAAGAGAGAGAGAAAATAATTATTATGAATATTATTATTAATATTATTAATTATTATCATTATTATTAATTATTATCATTACTATTATTAATTATTATTATTATTAGTTATTATTTTTGTTTCTTGGTTGAAGATGTAATACATTCACACACTGATAATAAAATACATTCACATAATGGTAAGTGGAAGGGACTAAAAAGACATTTGATTATAAATCATCTTAAATCTTCGCAATTATTTTAAAACGAACATGAAAATTTTCTAAATCCGCGATTTCCTTTACTAGTAAATAGTGAATTCATCTCAAGCGAACATACCATAATAGAAAAATATAATTTTTAAAAATAATATAATCTTTACGGATAGTTTATGATTTTATGAAACGTTATTTTTTTTTATCTCTAGTAAATGTTGTAATGTATGTATTTTGTTAATAAATAGCGACAGTATCGTTTTGAAAATCATTTTAACAAATTTATGCATTTATAATATTTTAAAATATTAGGGAATCAAAATGAATTAATTATTTTATTAGTCTATATAATTATGCTAAAACTTTCTTTTAATAAAGATAAAGTAAACTATAATTGAAATTTTGTCCGTAAAAAATAATAATAATAATTGCAAATTAATGCTTAGTACTTTAGGAAGTACAACTAAATTATACAAATCTTCTCATATATGCATACAAAGACTTTTACATGTTTTAATTTCTAAAACTAGTAAGCCTTTTGACAACTAATACACTAAACAAAAATTTGAAATTATTAATGAAATTTTATCAACGAAAATAAATTTATTAATAAATTTAAATTATCAACATAAATTGTACGACAGACCACTGCAAGCGTTGGATTACAATAAGGACATTACTACTAGAAAATTTTCATTGTCATGCGCAAGTCATTTGGGCAGAAGAAGTTTTTACTGTCGCTTCCGATGATTGGATTGACATGAATCTTAATATGCTTTTTCTCAAAAACAAATTATGAGAGACCCTAATCATGAAATTTAGCGTTTTCCTTTTAATTATTTTTAGTGCATTTCCTTTCTATCGTGTAAAAATTCATTCGATGTATTCTAATTAAAAACCTCCAATCCAAAATATAATTCTGATAATGGAAGATTAAGTTAGATTGAAGATGGACTGATTCTTAATTTTTCTAAATTGGGAAAGCTAAAAAAAAAGAAAAAATAACGAAAGAAGAGGAAGAATATAACTAAATTGTAATAATTATAGACAAAATTTACTAACAGATTTTTCTTTCAGTAAATATGACTGAATGTACTTTTATTGACGAAATTCGATCAATTTAAAATCTATTAAAAATATTATTATCAATAGATTTTTTACATTGTTGACGATTTTTTATCATTAATAATACTTGTTTTTCTTGTAATGATAGTTATAACTATTTAAATAAATAATAAATGAAAATAATTTTTTTGAAATGTGTCCATTAACAAACTAATGTGAAAGGTATATCTTTTACATTGTATTCAGAAACGAGACAATCGTTTTAAGGCCAAAACTAATATTTTTGGTAAAAAATGTTTAGACAAAAGCCATATTACAAAGATGATTCACAAATTACTACACAATGTAAGGTTAAAACATCATTAGGTGACATTAGGCCTCCTAAGAGGTAAAAACTCATTAAGGATACTACAAATAGAACATGTAGATGAAATATTTAATACTTTTAAATCATTTGCATTTATTACAATAATCGAGACCAACAACTATTTGAACGTTTGAGTGTTTTTTAGGCATTCAACTTAATGATATTATACATAAGAGATTATTAATGATGATACTAAGACTAAAGGAGTTGTAGGGTGAAGAATATGTGACAAAACAGGCTAGCCTAAGCCATCCTACCATTGGCCCCACAAAAATGGATCGGATTAGGCTGGCCTGCAACTTGAAAACGGGATGGAAGATAGAACTCATCCTACCATAGGACAAGTTGGCAAGCTAACTAGCTGGCCTGATAATTCATAACGGGAAGGAATGATAATGGGTGGTGTGTTAATGTTTTGTTAGAAGCTTTGTATTTTTGCTAAGATCATAACCCAATACAATAAGGACAATCACAAAATAAAACTAGAGAAATCAGGACAAAACAAGGGATAAATGTGAGAAGTACTATAGTTGTTATACGAATTGGCATTGTTATAGAAATTGTCGGTGATGGGTGGCGTCAGACGCTCCTCCTCTCATGATCTCTCTCCCTCGCACCACGTCATGTGGGGTTGGTTGTTGCTTGCAACATGTTTCTTAGGTAGTGGTGGCTTGCGTCGCGTCTAGTTGTTTTGTTTGGAGACAGAAAGAGACATGAGTTGGTTTGAAATATCTGTTTTGGTATTTTTTGTATGGATTGACAAGGATACCAAGATCGTTTCACCCTACATCTCCGATCCAATCATTTCATCATGCATCTCTAATTTTCAAAAAATAGCCTAAAATGTTACAATTTTTTTTCATCAAATTTCAATTGATGAAGAATTTTTTCTTCATCAAATTTCAAAATTCAATTAATAAAAAAAGTGAAAGTGTAGGATTTTTTGAATTGGAGAAAGATAGTTTTAAAATTTAAAAATAAAATAAAATAATTGGAGGTGAAAAATGAAACAACCACATATCAATCAGATCTGATCCATTTTATCATTGTTAGTCAATATTGTATTCCGCTTTACAACAACAATCTTTTTTTCTAAAACTTAAAGCATTATGCAAAGGAATAGTGGTGCGATAAGAGAGGAGGATTGATAACGTTGCTGGAAAAGCCTTCATAAGGTGGTGGTGGGATAACACAATGGGATAGCTTTCATTAAGTGTGCTGTGACAAAACCAGTTTCCAGGAAAGAACCATTAAGAAAATAAAGTTTCACAGAGAACGAAACAGAAACTCAACTTGTAATTCTAATCAATGATATTTTATATTAACATAGAAAGCATCAAGGTAGTAAAATTTTATTTGAAATTTATTTAATTTTATAAAATCTATTCATAAAGTTAATTTGTATTTTTAATACACTCTTCTACACTGAAATATATAATAACAATTTGATAACGATTGAATAACAACGAATGATATAATAAATTTAACAAATATTATAAATTCTAAATATTTCAAATATTATAGAATATTAAATTCTAAGTTTAAATCAACTTAGCTAATAAAATAAAATTTGATTTATTTATTTTATATTTTATTTATACCTTTAAAAAATGAGATTAAAAATATATTGTATAAGATGAAGAACAAAGAAATGTATATGTGGTAAATCGTGTTTTTGCAATGATGTTTACTCACAAACAGTACTGCAGAAAAATTTGGAGAAAGGCATTTATTGGAAACTGGTTAATCTGGTTTGCAGATACGATGTAATTAATAAAGGAAAAGTAACTAGTTACCCCATATGAAACGCAACTCGCTGCAAATTAATTGATACTTCCACATGCATGCCGACCGCATTTATACACTTATACCTACATTATACGCCAAACATTAATTCATTTAGAGGTGCCTTCTCACTTTTCGTCTCAACCTCTACTTAACCACAATAATCAACGTATTTTAATAAACAGAGAAGGATTTTTAAAACAATGTTGCAATATATTTTAAATTGTTTATTCCAAATGCAAATTGACACTAAAAAAGCTTATAAAGAAAACGACAAGGACTTCCCCATAACAGAAAAAATGGAGAAAATATGAAAATGTCGTCTCTCAACCACCAGCCGAAAGACGTAGAAGCATATTAAGGAAGATCACTCTTCAAAAGTCAACTTTAAGCTACCCCACACTCTATCTCATTTTTACTCTTTCTCAAAAATCGATGCATCGATGTCTTCATCCAAGAATCTGCAAACCAACGCGTTTAAGAACATTAAATAAAAAATACCTATCATGTCATAAATATGCAATATTATTTATAAGTGCATTCGCTAATTAAATGCTGATTATTTACTGTCAATCGTCACATTAAGAATTATACATTCTTGATATAACATAAAGAAATAAAGAAAAAGATAAGTTACACTAAAACTTCTAGGTATAATTATACTTATTTCAAAACTTATGCATAATTCGATATAAAAGTTTGTAGGGGCTTTAAATTAATTATGATAAAAAATTATAATTTAAAAATTATTTACAATGTCTTGATTATATTATTTTTCTCTTTAATATGAGCTAATCACTTTATTCAATTAATTGCCTTCTTCAACTTTCCAAAAGAAAGAAAGAAAAGAACATGGGATGCATACTGAAATTATATCTCTCCTAGGCAGACAACTGCAAGTAGGTATACTTGATTTAATATTCACTACGCAGACAACCACTCTTTCTCTATACTTATTATTTATAACCCTCCTTATTCATGGAATGTGTTGTGACATTGATACACAATCTTTTTAGAACACTAAGAAATTCTTCTAAGTTGGAACCATCATAAGTTTGCATTAACTTCAAGTATATGGCTATGGTAACTATAATCATAATGATATTAGCACAATCATCATTATTATTAAATGTTACGTGACGTAAACATTATACTAAGTAGCTTTTCTCACGAAAGTGCTGATATTAGTGGAATGAAGGCATGCATTGTGTGCAAGATCATATGATCCTAGTATTGAAAAAAGAAAACATAGCAATCTAATACGAATACGTAAATAAAATGGAACATCTTATGCACCTTTTTCTTTCTGATAGTACTGTTTTAAGGCGAACAGCCACAAAAAATAAAAAGCAGAATCATTTTTAGATTTTAAAAAGTGCTAAATAATGAAAGGGTAAATGTTGGTTAACTTATCCATGTTACATGATTTATTTCTTATTCAAGTACAGTGTATTATTTATCATTTTTCTTCGCTCCTTTTATTCTATATTTGTAGCGAATATATAAAGAGCATCAACGTGTGGCGAACTTCATTGCTTCCCCTTCTTACTTAACTGGTAGCTCTTTCTCTTCTGGTTTTGGTTGGGTTGGTTTGGTATAACAATGGAAGGTATCTCAGGGGGGTTGAAGAAGTATTGGAGGAGAAGCATATGGGGATACCAAAGACTGCATGGGTTGGAAGGGCGTAAGAGAGAAACGGTTCAGCTTGGAGAGAACCGAAGAAGAAGGAGATGGCGCATAAAGATCAATCCCAAGATGAAAATCCGCAAAATCTCTTCCCCGAAGAAGTTGGTGCTGTGGGTCAGAGACGCCTACATGAGGATGATGCTGGGTCTCGCTAGCTCCACCGCTGCCTCTGCCGTCGGCTACGGCGCCGACTCCACCTCCACCAGAGGTGGCTTCGAGAGGGGCCCACCGCCGAAGGAGTACGACCAGAAGATGATCGTTCATATGTACAAGTCCTTGATTATGGCACAGGGACAGTTGCTACCCCGAGATCCAACACCCAACCATGTCACCACAATGGTTACCACGATCTTATGATTTCTTTTTAATTACAAGAACATGTTTTTACCTTTATTTGATTCTTGAGGATTTGTATGCAAATAGTATAATTGAAAAAAAAAAAAAAACTACTTTTACAGTTTTTTTTTACACAATATGTTAAAGAAAAAAAAAAACACACCTATATTTTTATAATTTAGATAAATGTATCAAAATTTAAAAAGAAAAGTCTCTTAAACGCTAAACTGGCCTTAACTTGTTTTCAGCTTCCAATCCTTGTTTTGTTTTTCTTCGGTTTTAGGTTGTAATATTTTAATAAAGTTGCACGAATTACATGAATTACCTAGGTTGTTCCATTAGATCTGGCTTGGTTGAAAACAAAGTCTCACGTCGAAACATAGGTTTATACTTATATATAAGATATCTTTATTTATAAGAGATTTTTTTGAAGTGATACCAAAAGTTTTTTGAAAATTCCAGAATTTTTTTTTTCAGAAATCAATGATTCCCTTCTTTTACGGAAAACATTTTCCGGGATGGTTTGCTGGGATGGGAGTTGAAATTTGATGAGGGTGCATGAAGCTTTAGCCATTAACATTTGGTGTCTTGACCCAAACGAGGATCTACGGGGGAATGTGCGGCCCAGGCCCAGGCCCAATAAACAGTAATGGTTTGAAAAGAAAAAAAATGGCGACTTAGAAATCATCCGATGCAGGTTGATACCCATGTCAGTCCATGAAACATGACAATATAATTTTAAATATGTTATTTATTATTTTATGTAAATTTTCTTATTTTAGTGTCTTATTACATTTTTTTTATCATAACTAAAGTTTCTTTCACTGTATTATTTACACTAAAAGTATGCTTCAAAATAAGTTATTTTATTTTGAAATATAAAAAAAAAGTAAACAAAGAAGAAAAAAGTTATTCAAAAACTCACCATTATAAAAGAGAGGAAGTAATATATTATAACTTGTTGATATGTCTTAAAAATATAGTGAAGAGTTTGACATAAGAAAATTGTTTCAGTATAATCCTTGGGGCCGAGATACGAACCTTGTTGATGATTTGTAATCTCTCCTCTACTTCTCGTATACTTACTCGCACTTCTCGCACTGTGGAAGGTACCTGCGAAGATACTCCGATGCTAAAGTCATATATGAGTGACAAAATTTTTGTTCTTTTATTAATGAATCTCTCGTAATGTAATCTCCTTTTCTTAGAGTGAAAAACGTACCTTTTCTCCTAAGGTTCTTCTGTATTTAACCTAAAAATAAAATAAACTGATTACCTTAAAATTCGGTCAGTTGGTAATTCCAGTTACTTGCCTGTGATCCACGTAGTCTTGATATTTGGTTAGTTGGCCCCGTAACTTGCGTTATTACAGTTAGATATTTTTGACTATTTCTTCTTTAACTGGACTACCTGGACTATTGATCCACATGTGTTGGGTTAATTGGCCCAACTTCACTAAATGCATTTGGGCGCGCGCTGATTCTGGCATGATTGGATTGACTTGGCATTGTAATATCGCTTGACCTTTGTCGAACGCCTTGTTTTGCTTACGAAGGTTTGACGAGCGCTGTCAATTGCAAGATAATTGATGAACATTTGGTATAGCCGATTGTTTGCTAGTTGTTGCTATAATTGGCGTAGCGAGCGTTTAATCACTGTGGTTGATAATCGCTCGGTTTGACGTAGCGATCGTTCAATCACTGTGGTTGATAACCGCTTAGTTTGGCGTAGCGATCGTTTGGTAAATGTGATTGATAATCGCTCGGTTCATACTATACAAAAACGTATACTTAGAGCTCGTTCTCAATGCTGTTAGACATCAATATCTTTTTTATATAAATATATATATATATATATATATATATATATATATATATATATATATATATTGATTCATCAAAAAACAAAAACTAAACTACATTTCATGAGAAAAAGTCCAGTTTGGTTTTGTGTTAATTACACATTTTACCATTCAGTTATCATTATTTTAAAAAACAACTACTACTTCATTATTCGTTTCTTGTAGATTTTACATCAATGTTTTTCATATTTTCAAGTGTTATTATGACCATTTTTTATATAATAAAATGTTTAGTATTCTTAAAGTATAACGTTATTATATATATTTTTATATAAAACAATGTCATTTTGTTATTATTATGTACAGTGGCTAAAACACAATGAAAAATGTTTGAAAAACAAGGTAAAAATGTGTAAACATTAAAGTTTAATGTCAAAATGTGCGTAAAAAAGGCAGATTGAAAGAAAAAATGTAAATGGAAATAAAAGTGTTGGGTGGCAAAATCTAGAACTAAGCAAATAAGTTAAGAAAGAAACTATTCTGTGTCAAAAGTGTGATGTCAAAAGTAAATAAATAAAATAGGAGATTCATAGAAATCCAATATGAATTTATTTACAACAATAAAAAAATTATATTATTATTGACATGCATGATTAGTTTATATTGTACTTATGTAATAAATCTTTTACCCCTAAGTCAAAGTAAAAACCTTAAGGCTACTTTCTCTTTTCCATCTTTCCCTCTCTCCTTTTTCCTTCCCCTCCGTCGCATATCTCCCTCCCTCCATTCTTCCTTCTATGAACCACCATCTTCACCTTTTCGTATATCTTCTCTGTTTCCTCCTTCACCCCAAATTCCACCTTTTATATCTCTTGGGAACTACCAAACTCCACCACCTCCTCCACCTTCACGTATTCTACCATCTTCTAAAAAGAGTTATAGAAGAACAAAATAAGAAGATAAAAAGTCTAAGTCACGTATTTATAAAATCTTTTGGTAAGAGATACGTTATGGAACCCTTAATTCGGAAGATATTTTTAAATTCAAAAATACATTTCGAAATACCTATTTTTCAATTTTATTTTATATTTCATAAGTTCTGAAAGGTATTTTTGGATTTAAAAATATATTTCAAACTCTTAAATACATTCAAAATGTAAAATAACTTTCAAAATAAATGTTTTGAAAATTATTTTGAATTCGAAAATACATTTCAAAATATGTTTTGAAAATATTTTTTATTATTCCTACTTGAGTGTTTCGAAATGTATTTTCGGACCAGGAATACCTTCTAGAATTTGAATAAGCAAAGAATTTTGGACCGGTTGTTTCAAAATATATTTCCAAATTTTAGGTCCACATTAAAAGGGAGTTGCTCCCTCCACCCCCACACATCTCTTCCTCCACCTCCCCAATTTTCTAAAATGCCAATTATATCCTTCTAAAATGACAATTATATCCTCAAAAGTTAAAATTTTTTATTTTTATTATTTTAATATTTTAATTTATTTAAAACTTCTGATTTACTTCTCTGCACCTCTTCCTCTCTTCCATTTCCGTTTATCTTTCTCTCTTCCGTAAAGCTTCTTCTCCATTTCTCCATTTTCGTTTATCATTTTCTCTTCCGTAAAGCTTCTTCTCCATTTCTCCATTTCTCCATTTCCGTTTATCATATATAACATTTAAAATTATAAATTTAAATATAAATTACTGTAAATAAAATAAACAAATAAAATAAAAACGAAACGAAAAAGCAACGCCTCTGGACGGATGACATCCTTCAACGGATGTCAATTCACGGTGTCAACATCCGTTTAAGGCAAAACGGATGTCGACATCCGTTTCGCCTTAAACGGATGTGACATCCGTGAAGGATGTCATATGTGGCTATTGCAGGGTGGCAGAAGAACCAGAACAATTGTTGCAGTAGCTAGCCTTGTCTATGATTCAGTGAGTTTTGGGTTCTACAGCATTTTCAATTTTATATGTTTAAGTATATTTTCTGTCTCTTTTATTCTATAGAGTTATTATTGTATTTAAATGTGGTTTTTTAGTAGGTATGTGTATTCTGGTTCCTTTCTTGCATTTTGTCCCTGCACCGTTAGATTGTCGTGTTTAGGCACCGCATTAAAATTTCTTGAACGTGGAAAATTTCAGCTTATAGCACAGTAACTCCAGCGTCTCCAGCCAATATGGAGGAAACTCTAATACCTTGAAGTTTGCCAGCAGGGCAAAACGAGTAGAATATGTGCTTCCCGTAACAAGGTTGGCTCAAGTTTGTGATATCTATCGAATTGCATACCTATAAGCATGAAAGTTGCTTATTCATTGTGGAATTCTTTAACAGATATTGATGAGAAATCTCTAATTAAGAAGTACCAGAGAGAAATTTCTGTCTGAAACTAGAACTTGATCAACTAAAGAAAGGGATGCTAGTTGGTGTCAATCATGAGGAAATTTTGACCTTAAAGCAAAAGGTTTTTAGCTATCCTGATATTCATTTCTACTGTTAGTTGTTACTTTTTACACACGCTATCTATGATTTGTAACAATCTTTTGCTTTCTAATTGTTTGTTCTGTTATATGCGTAGTTGGAGGAAGGTCAAGTGAAAATGCAATCAAGATTGGAAGAAGAGGAGGAAGCCAAATCTGCTCCTATGCGTAGGATCCAGAGGCTAACCAACTCCTTTTGTTTCGTCAAAGAATGCAATTCCGGACATCTAACTGAATGTATCCAACCATCAACGAAGTCATTCTGTAGGCGAGGATGATGCTGAGCATACTCTAGTTAATTACAGCAAATTTTTTTTTAATATCGTTTTCAATTTTCATTTCCAGTGTTTGTTTCTGCACTAATTTAGTAACTCATTCTTGTTGGACATGCACAGGGGCTTTCATGTAAACCATTCCTGAATGCCCTTATGTTCAAAATAGACTTTCATTATGGACCAAGTGGCAAAGACGTTAGAACGTGTTTTTTTTTTTCAGAAACCGGATGCCTTGCCTGATGGTGGTGTTGATTGAAAATGAGAGTAAAAGATACTCGGCGAAAGATCTTCTAGTAGATGGAATGAAGAGTTCTCCCCAGCTAGCAGTACTATAACTGAATCAACACATGCTGGTGAATTGTTCAGTAGAACAAAATTGACAATGGTAAACTCAATTTCTCTGTTACAATGTGTTTTTTTTTTAATTTTCTTTTTTATCACACCTCAATTCATGCTTTTAAATAAGTTTCTCAGATAGATAGATGATGTGGAATTAAGATGAAACCAGTAACTAACAAAAAGTATATATCTAGGCCAAGTTGTTGTTTTTTTTTTCCCTTTTTTCTGATGTCAATGCCCTGGGTGATTGAGACGTGTACAAGCTAGAGCATCCTTGGGAGGACATTTATCTAACTGGGACTGCAATCACATATTTCAATTTAGCCAAACCGTGGTGTAAAATACATTCGCCAATAGAGTTACTTAAGATGAATTGAACATTGGCATTGCCTAGAGAGTGTTATATTTCATTTTGGTTCCTTAATGATGGAACTTAATAAAGAGTATGGAAGGATGATCTTCCACAGAAGTCGCATTCGCTTACAATACATTAAATCTAATTGGCAATGGAAGTGAATAAACTGGTTTAATTAACATTCTTTTATTTGTCTGACTTTTTTCTTACTTTTTGGCCTTTTTTCCACTTTTGAGGTAAGCAAGTCTACCTGGATCGTTATGCCAACCATTCCTTTTGTTTTCCCTATCTGAAATTAAGGAAGATGTAACTTCATCAAAAATACAAGTTTTTGTGCTGGTAGTCTCCCTCATCAATTTTTCTTTTATTAACAGTGTTCTGAAAACCGAGAGTTGCAAGAAAAGGTGAAGCAGCTAGAGCAGCAACTTGCAACAGCTACTAGTGGTACATTGTTAACGTCATCTGAACAGTGTTCATCAGGAGAACACGCTGATGAGTTGAAAAAGAAAATACAATCCCAGGTAGATTTTCTTTTGTAGTAGTATAGTTGAATATTTTTGTTGGTTTTTCCCTTTATATAATTTTGTATTCCCATCTCATCCTGTACTAAATGGCCATTTCTCTTCCCTATTTTCAGGAAATTGAACATGAAAAGCTAAAACTAGAGCAAGTTCACTTGTCAGAAGAGAATAGTGGGTTGCGTGTTCAGAATCAGAAACTCTCTGAAGAAGCTTCTTATGCCAAAGAACTGGCCTCTGCTGCTGCTGTGGAACTGAAAAATCTGGCTGGGGAAGTGACAAAATTTTCATTGCAGAATGCAAAGTTGGAAAAAGAATTGATGGCTACGCGAGATCCGTTTTTTATTACAACATGTTTTTTATTAGCAAAACGGATGTCGACATCCGTTTCGCCTTAAACGGATGTTGACATCCGTTTCGCCTTAAACGGATGTTGACATCCGTTGAAGGATGTCATCCGGCAGCGTTGCTTTTTCGTTTCGTTTTTATAAACGCACTGCACTATAAACGCACTGCATCACCTACTGTACCGAGAACAAGAGGAAGATTGCTTGATAATTCTTTTCACGATCACCAAGCAGAAAAATATTTTATTCATACAAGGAACTACGTAGGTTATCAGTTAAATATGTTATAAATGAATAAAATTAAAAAGCAATAATTTTAAAAATAAAATTTTACTGAGGGGCAAAATAGTAAAGGAAAGGTGAAGGAAGGGGCAAAAAAGTAAAGAGGAGGTGGAGGAAGAGATGTGTGGGGGTGGAGAGAGCAACTCCCACATTAAAATTCTACAGCCCATGACGATTACAAAGTAAACCCAGATCCAATGTTGAGAAATTGAACAAAGAAAGAGATGGGTTTGATTTATTAGCTCCGCCATTGGATGGTATACTTTAGTAAATAAAAGGAGACATAGGCTATTTAAATGAATACAAATGAAAACAGTATATTCCAAAAAAAGAAGAAGTATGTTTTTGGATCTATTCTTTTACCCAATAAACTTGACCTTAAAATGCTTCTTCTAATGGTGGTCTAAGGTTGAAGAGTTGAAAGGGTGATAGTGTCGTGTAATTTCTGTAAATGTATTATTTTAAAAATTTAGAAAAGGGTTGAGATTAAATTATATGTATTTTACTTATTTACTTAAGTGAAGATGATTTTTGAGCAAAATGATTTGTATTTAGTAGTATGTTTGAATTTTGGAAAAGAGAGAAAAAGAGGGATTTGAAAATAGTATAGGCGGGGAGGAATGGGGAGAATATAAAAAGAGAATGATAAGAGTGTTGTTTGTGGAAAGGGTGGAGCAGTGAAGTGCAGTGCATTTGAGTGGTGGAAAGTGGAAAGTGGAAACCGCAATCGCCAAGCTGGAAAAAAAAAGACACCTTTTTCCCTGTCGCTCCCTTATCGCCTCCTTTCCCTTCAACACCAACCCACATTACCATTACCACTCACACATGGCCTCAACAACAACACAACCAGACTGATAATAGAAAGCGCCACCGTGCGCACGTTACCACTGCTTCACATGGATTATTCATCCACACTCTAAACGCAACCTGAACCCTAGCGGAGGAGGGGGCAAAACCCACAAAACCAAAAAAAAAAAAAAAAACATGTTTGGGATTACGAGATTTTCGGGGTTTTTCTCCGCCGCAATGTTCGTCATTGTTCTTATCATTCTCTCCCCGTCTTTCCAATCCGAAGCAATTAGATCCTCCCACCGATTTTCCTTCCGGAAAGCCCTCCCCTTCCGTAATGCACACGAATGCGCCTGGGTTTCCGCCCAAACAAAAGTCTGCGACCCTTCTTTAGTCCACGTCGCCATAACTCTCGACGTCGAATATCTCCGCGGTTCGATCGCCGCCGTGCACTCCATCCTCCGCCACGCCCTCTGTCCGGAGAACGTCTTCTTCCATTTCCTCGTCTCCGACACCAATCTTCAAGCCCTGGTGGACTCCACCTTCCCGCACTTGAAGTTCAACGTCTATTACTTCGATCCCAACACTGTCTCCCACCTGATCTCCTCCTCCGTGCGCCAAGCGCTGGAGCAGCCGCTCAATTACGCCAGGAACTACCTCGCGGACCTTCTCGAGAGTTGCGTGGAGCGAGTTATCTACCTGGACTCCGATCTGGTGGTGGTGGACGACGTGGCCAAGCTTTGGAGCGCGAGTCTGGGCTCACGCGCCATCGGCGCGCCGGAGTACTGCCATGCGAACTTCACGAAGTACTTCACGGCGGGGTTCTGGTCGGAGCCGAGTTTGGCGGGGACGTTCGCGCAGCGGAGGGCATGTTACTTCAACACGGGGGTGATGGTGATGGATCTGGTGAAGTGGAGGAAGGAGGGGTACACGAGAAAAATCGAGAGGTGGATGGAGATTCAGAAGAGTGATCGGATCTACGAGCTGGGTTCGTTGCCGCCGTTTTTGCTGGTGTTCGCGGGACATGTGGCGCCCATCGAGCACCGATGGAACCAGCATGGTTTGGGCGGGGATAACGTGAAGGGTAGTTGTCGTGGGTTGCACCCTGGTCCGGTTAGCTTGTTGCATTGGTCCGGTAGTGGAAAACCCTGGCTCCGTTTACATTCCAAACGTCCTTGCCCTCTCGACTCTCTGTGGGCTCCCTTTGACTTGTACGCACAATCTCCATTTTAACTAAATTTTTATTGCCTGGTACATACATATTACACTCAATTTCTTGCTCCTCTGCCATCATTTGCCTAGTTAGATGTTATTATTATTCCTGTATTTCTTCTGTAGATGCCTTTTCTGTCATTTGTATTCTATTATTTTTCTGCCATTCCTCACTTGAAAATAAACGTAAATGAAAGAAAGAAAAGGTAGATCTTTCGATTTCTTCTTGTATATAAAGTGGTGTACTATTAATTTATTAGTAATTGGTGACAATTAGGTCCCAAGTGTGAACTGAAAATTGTTGTGTGGATTATTTATTCTTGAATCTATACCAATGGAGTTGAGTTCATAGAGCTGGTATGGTATCCATAAGAATTTTTATTCTGTATTGTATTCAGTATTTGGCTGTCAGAATTCGAACAAGGTGGTCTCGCAAAGAAAATGCATTCAAGAGTAAAAACAAGAAAAACTTCGAATCCATTAATAGTTATGATATATGAGCTTGAGTTAGTCTTAGTAGTAAAAACAAGAAAATAATATGAAGTTATGTAAAATAATATCTATTATGTAAAAAAATGGATTCTAAAGAGCACTATGTTTATAAGTGTAAGTTTATAAAAGCTGAAGTCGAATTTGTAAATGTTGTTAGTACTACTGTTCTGGCTGGGGGTCGCCCAGGATGTTGAATGAGTAGTTGGTTGTGGACATTCAATTTATTGTGGGTCTGAATGACCTTTCCTGGATTCGCGAATCTAAGGATAGAGTGGTTTGCATTTTATTCTGTTACCTTTTTTATCTGTGATGGGGGAGAGGGAGAGTTTGCTGCTGGTGGTGCTTACCGGCTAAAATAGAAGTTGATGGCTAAATGTGGCATCCAATATGGCCGGCAGCGGTGCTAAATTAGGCAGTAGAACAATCCAAGGAGAGGTTCTGCCTTTGGATTGTGTTGGCAGCTAGTCTAAGGGAACCATGCTTCGGTGGCAGTGGCGGAACATTTTTACCTATCTTTCAACCTTTGTGTTCTTTTCTCATAGCGTGTCACTCTCGCTTTGTCCTTTGCACCGTATGCATAGCTGGCAATTCTCTGTCTTCTGTGTTCTTTTCCATCATTGGATTTATGCTTCCACATTTTTCTATCCTACAACTAATGAAACAAAAACTGGGTCCTACTCCTATTCCTCAATCCAGACATTGTTCGATGCTTTCATTTATTAATAAAAAATTATATAAAAGATTGTATTATGATAGCTAGGAATGGAACAAATTAAGTTATATTGTTACATCTGCTACTATTGGATGAGGGGTCCAGGTATCATTGTTGCTCTTAAGTGTTTCTTCACTGTCACTGAGATGTTTGGGGTCCATTTGCCAGAGTAACACTTTTTTGACAGTTTTTGTTGTGAAAACTGGAAAGTAAGGGGCCATTTGCCAGAGTAACTGCAGTCGCTAAGAATTGATTGCCTTTTTTTACCCTTGGACGAGAATAAAGTTTTTAAGAATTTAGCATTTAGAAGTTCTCTGTTGCAAATTTTTATTGCTGTAAGAATTAAGTTTTAGAAGTTAAACTTTTGAAGGTTTTTATTGGTCCGTTTTATGATAAATTTAAAAAAAAAAATGTGAGCTAGGTAGGTTGGCTTTCAGCACTGCTAGCTGTTGCTATATAATAATTGGGTATTAAACTAAAGTGGGGAATAAAGTCTTTAGTTCTGCGTTGAGGTTGGGATAATGTACATTCTAATAAAGGGTTAGGACATGTCTAGTGATGGAGCTAAAGCTACAGGCGAAAGGTGAAAGATCAGTTTTCTTTTTAGTTGACATTATTATATTCACAAATTGCAAACACTACTTTTTGGTTTCATATATACGTGTTTTGGCGGATATGAGATGTGGAGATAAAGGGCATTAGATGAGTCCAAACACAGGTTACTTAATAGCTCTGACCAGTCTGGTTGTAATAGTTTATTCTCTCGACAGACCATCTACCGAATATGGATTTCTTATGACTTTTTTGAGGTCTGATTTTTGATTTCATTCACGCTTCTTGACTCTTGGCACTTTGGAATGGTTTTACATTTTCTTAATAAATTTTCAGAGGGTAAAGCTACCTCCATTCAGATTAATTTTATCAATGCAGATATTTTTATTGATATTTATTGGAAAAGGGTTGAATGTAAAGGAAAGTAGCTTGGTGCTGGGGAAACTGGAAGAGGTAGGTGTAAATTTTATCTTATAAATTTTGTAGGGTTGAATGGTTTTGTTTTCTAGTCTTGTTTTCTGGTCATATCTTAGTGCGATATTCTTGTGGCAAAATGACAACGTAGTTTGTCACTGAAGATGAACATTGTGGTTTAAGCCAATGACAAATAGGTCTTTCGTCCTAATTAGGTGTCTAAAAGACTACATCAATTATTGCACACTAAGCACGAAATGAAATTTTTTACTTATACAAATTCTCATTTGGTAAGCTGTCGGTGTAACATCTTTCTTGTGCGAGCTAGCTTTCTTGGGTAAATTTCCTAACTCGTTCAATTTGTTTTAAAATTTATCAAAATGAATAATTTTAAAAAATAATAATAATGTGACACGACCTTGCAACTACAAAGTGAAGTGTTAAAATAACAAAAAGTTTCAGTATGATTGAAAAAGTCGTGTAACTTACACATAATTTAATTTATTTTTATTTTTTATTTACAATGAAATCGTGATACGATTTTAGTTCTTCCACACGGTTTTCTTCCAAGTGAAATCATGCAAACACATCATCACTTCATAAAACATTGATGCATGGAAGATTATTATATGTATAAACAAACTTTAATTATTAATTATGGTTTTTATTGCAGTAACCTTTTTAAACTTAAAAGTTTGGTAATTTTGGAAAAAACATAGTTAAAACACATTCTTGAAAATGCCTTGTTAAAAATGTGTTATTTCAAAATTAATATTAATAAAAAATGTTGCTGAAATCAATAATTAAAATTTAAGCAGTATATAATACATATAAAAATTTAAAATTTTGCAAAAATAATTATATAAACAAAATATATGTTAGATTGATTTTGAGGAATTTAATTTCTTTTTATATTTTACTTTTTTTTTATTTCTTTCTTTTATATTTGTTTTTTTATAATTATTTTCTCTTTATTTTGCTTTAAACTGTAACAGAGTAAAAATAAAAATCGCATCCTTATTGTATGTATCAATTTTTTTTATCTCTGATTATTATATTTTTTTTCTATTTATGTTTATGTTGTTTTTATTTTATTTGTTGAATTTTATTAGGATTAGAAATGTGTTTTTTTTTGTCTAATATTTTTTTGGCAACTTTATGATTTATGAGTTTAAAATATTTTATTGCATATATTTTGATGAGAAAATGGAATTTTTGCTTTATTTGAATTGTAGAATTATTAACTAGGTTAAGATTTAGTTTTTATAGTGAATAATGAAAAAGAAATTTCAAACGAAATAAGTAATGAAAATTAAAGTATCAGTTACTCCAACATAAAAGAGTTAAAAGAGTTATTGAAAGTTAAAGATGATAAAACTTATTTAAAATCAGTTATATCTTAATAAAAATTAAATCATTCAGTCTTATTATATATTAAAGAAATGTTAAATAAAATTAATTACAGTAATTTAATAGATAAGTTTAGATAAAAAAAAATTTAAATAAAGAAAAAAAAGTCTCATTCTTCTATTTTAAAACCTTCTAGACCACCCTTGAGTCGTCCTTAAATGTCTTCATCAATCAAATAGTGTAATAAAAGTATATTTTTTCACATTTATAATTTTTTAATAATTATTTATTTTGATAAATTTAAAATAAATTACACTAGTTTAGCAAATTTACAGAAGAAATTTTGATAAAAAATTTTAAAACCATATCTTCTCCCTCAAATTTCTTGATTAAAATTTTCACTTTAAGGGAATTTTATCTTCTTTAAAGACAGATTGCACCTTAAACGATAAATGTGGTTAAATTTTTAAAATTTAGTATATTTATTTATATTTTGTCACAATCTAAGTACTAATAATATTCAGTGGTATTAAAATGTATGTAATCATAACACTGATCATATAACGAAAGCATGTCGCTTTCTTAGAGCTATTTAAAATAACTTATCTTTAAAAAATATAATTAATTACAAATAAAATTATACATATAAAAAAATCCCAAAAATTTAAAAAAAGATCATGACATGTTTAATTATGTGATTTTACAACTTAGATTAACAAGTTTCGATAATTAACTAAATTTTAAACTGCCGTCTCTTTTTTGCAAGTTAAAAGATATTTTATCTTTGACACTGATTAACTCTTAAAAACATGATGTAAAAGAAGTGATTGCATTAATTATATATGCAGTAGGAAATTGCAGTTATCTCGATTAGTTGACACGCACGCAACAACAAAATCAAATTTATAAGTACAGTTATTGAAATAATGACAACATACATTTAGATGAAGAGAGACCATCTCAATCATTTGAGATGTTTAACAGTAAAATGTAAGGCTACAACATATGAAGTTAGTAACTTCGTTTCTCATCTGACCTACAGAATATTGAGACACACATAATCAGAAACTAAAACTCAAATGAATTTAATCTACTACATACATCATCTACCTCTCAAGTAAACTTTGTCGTCTGCTAAAAACTCAAGGAAATTTGAAGTTCATATAATCTTCTGTTATCCCCGAAGGAGGGTTTATGTATACCCAGAGCAAAGAAATAATAATGGAGAGTAATCCAGACCAAACATAAATGATGGTAGGAATCTTTCCTCTTCTTCCCATGAGACCCTTCGCAAAAGGATAAAGATGGCACAAGACCCATAAACTGAAAAACACCCCTCCTACTAGCCTGCTCCATTGTGGAAAGGGACTGTACATGGTCCTAGCCACCCCTACTGCAATAGCAATAGCATTCACCATCATAATAGTAATGGGAGGGATCATTAGAAAGCTCCACTTCACCTCATAGAGGTCAGCAAACTCATCATCTTCATTTTCTGAAGTGGCTGATTTTGAAGTTAAAGTGAATGATATTTCCACTCCGGCTATTACCTTCAATAACCCTTGTAAAACAGCAGCAGCGTGTGCACTTGTTCCACCAATTAGCCAGAATTGCTCATTTCTCCACCAATCATGTAGAGTGATTCCTGACCATTTGATTTCCAGCAGTGCAAGCAAACACAGTGTAATTGTGATACCCAGCAAAAATACTAGAAAAGTTACACTGAGAGATTGGACTATAAATTGACCCGAAAATAGAGACATTGCGGGTAGAAAGCAATACACTATCAAAAACATTGAGGTGAAAGGGTACATTCCTACATTTAAATA